GTTTCTCCATAATGCGTCCACTTGCCGACCGCGTGGGCAAAGTAGTGGACAAACGAGAGTTAAAACGCATCCAACTATCACATCCAAGAAGGAGGGCATGACCCATGGCGGCAGCTGGGACAACATACACCCACACCGCTAACGAAGCGGTGGCACACTATCACCATAAAAAAATTGAACGGACAGCCGTACGGATGAGGTGGTTTCAAGAGCATTTCCAGAGCCAAAACCACCCCACTGCCGAACGGGCACCGAACGACGACTGTGGACAGATGCAGCTCCTGACGCCTCCATGGTTTCAAGGAAAGCATCACTAATGAAAGATGAAGGTGAGCCCGAGTCCAAAAGGGCTACACCAGGCGCTGTACACACGGCTCCGGTACCACTATGAACGCGGACTCGCGTCGTAGAGGTATCGCAATCTACAAAAACATCACCGCTCACCAAATCTGGGCCGTGTTCCGCCAATAGCGGCGGTGAGGAAGCGGCGGCTTCGCGAAAAGCAGCAGAGGCAATATGCAGCACCTGTTTCAAGTGGTCCGCGGGCGTGTTGGCTGGCACGTCCAGCGGGCCGCGCGCGTCCTCGGGCGAGGAATCATTGACCGAAGAGTCCTCACCCGGGGGCGCAATTTTGTGGATAGTGGGACACATGGGAGCAGGTTGCCCCGAGTGTTCAGGGCGTAAAGGCTTATCGGGTTCGACCGGGCGCACACGCAGGAGCGCGCGCGTCGCAACAAGCGCTTTGCCCAAGAGGTTTTCACCAGTCCACTTGGAGGGCGACGCCGCACGCGGATCGGAGGCATCAACACCAATGCCCCACAATCCGTCATAAGGACTGGCCTATGCTATCTGTCTATCACCCGTAGCCAACAATCGTTCACGCGCGTCAGCATTTTGGGCGAATTTCGCATACAAAAGCGAAAAGACAACATCCTCGCGCCGGAGCTCCCATAGAGCATGGTCAAAACCGCGTACCTTGCGACCAAGGGACTTGTGTTCTCTCGGGTCGGAGGCAGCCATGATTTTGGCATAAGCGGCATCATCGCCGAAAATGCGGGCTTTCTCCGCCATCATGAACTGTTCGCCGCACACGTATCGAATGCCATGAACCGAGAACTCATAGGGCGTCCAGTTAGACAGAAAGGACGGCGGTTTCCAAAAGAGGAAAACCTCATCGTTATTGTATTACTGACAACCGTCAAAAACAGGGGCCTGCCGCGCGGGTGCGCTTACCTTCCCCGAAGAAATATCATCAAGAGAAATGGCACCGGCAACCGGCAGGACAATCTGGGTGCCGCCCGAAGGCGGGCCGGATTGTGGGTTACGAGGAGAGGCAGGCAAGAGCGGTGAACCAGTCGCAGAAGCGTGCGAAACCAAGCGGTCTACGCGGGCGTTTTCGCGCAAAACGTCGGCGTAGGCCTGTTCATTAAAAGCGGCCTTCATCGCGGGCGCTCGACCAACATGGTCAGCGGCCGCGGGAGGCTCTGGACCGCTATTTCGTGAGAAAGAACATGAACCTTCCGATTTGGGGAAACCGTTACTTGCGCTCGGCAACGGCGGTGCAGTCAGCACCGTGCGACGTTGGTGCTCCGTAGAGGAACGTCGCGAGGGGTCCGGAGGGGGCGCGGTGGGTACAAGCGTACTCGAGCCACCGCGGCGGGCCTGCGGCTGTCCCGAAGGTCCCTGTGCTCCAGCGTGGTTGACGAGATCACCCGGAGCCGCCGAAACGGTGGGAGAAGCCGAAGCCATGCCTCCGGGGGGCGTAGACATCGGGGCGAACGTCCGTGAGACACCCGAAGTCTGGTCGGCCTTTCGCCCACACCACAAGACTGTATTCGGCGCCGACGAGTCACGTCGGTCATCCAAAACAGGCTGTGACGAGGCGTGAGGCGACATATGCCTCGTTTTCTTCTTGTCTCGCGATCAACAGAGGCAAGCATCTGCTTGGAGCGTGTGTCTTATTTTGTTTTCACGTACGTACGCCATGCCGCGCTTCACGAAATGTTTGTTGCTTGTTTGGGTTTCAGAGATGGGTGGCACGTTCGTTCGCCGTTGCACGATGAAGAAGGACGGTGAACGCAGGCGGTAATAATATTTAGATTGGGCAGTGTTTCATGTGGGACGTCGTGCGATAGGGCAGGGATAGAGAGAAGAAAATTGCTGTAGATTGGCGACCACACCCGCACCCGCCCGAGCACTGTGGAAGCCTTGATAGACACGTGCGGCTCTCTTCTGTTGCTTCTGTAGCTTCTGTAGCTTCTGCCTCTTGCCTCTTTCCCGGAGAGTTAGTTGTTTAGCCTTCTCCTGACCCCTCACGGGGTCTCAGATCATGGCTTTTAGAAGCATCTTTGTTCTGTTTTCAACCGCAGTGAAACTTACGTCTTTTCATTGGTCAGCGGCTAGCGCGGTCGATGCTGATAATCTGACAATAAACACCCACCCGCACATGGATTCGCCGAGAGGACTGCCGAGCGAAAAAGCGAAGAAAAAATACGCTCTATCGCTCTTAGGCCAGAAGAGACAGACGGCATTTCCACACCCTAACCGAGAACATGTTGCTGTCGACGGAGGAAGTAACCCCAGCCACGAAATAAATGAAGGGACAGACAGGCAGCCGTGCACTATGGGAGCGAGGGGGAGAAAAGTTAGAATCTCATAGACAACAACCAGGTCGCCGTCGATACCGTCAGCCTAGGACCAGTCAAAAGGCAACAAAACCGAAGAGCAACGGTAAAATCGAGGAAAGAAAGCACGCAAACAAACGAAGAAGGAAGTAAACGAAAGAACATGTGTGCAGGGCAAGATGAAGGAACACAGGACTATCCTCTAGATTATTGGTTGATTGGTACTCATCCCGGACTTCGCTTCGTGTTTGTTTATCTTAAGTAAGTATCTGAATCTGTCTTGGTCGCTTGATACATACATACAGTAGATAGATAGATAGATAGATAGATAGATAGGTGGTGGGAATAAAGTAGACAAAAAAAGTAAGTTGGTATACCCACTTCCAAGACTGAAAAAGGTGGGTACTCGAAAATTTGGTTTGCGGAGACCGCTCGTGACAGGGCATAGCAAGCACTCAAGATATCATTCATTCCAATGCAGATGTTGGAATATTCAATGTCAGTCATTAGGATTACTGCTGTACACCACACGTATGTAGGTACTTACCTAAGGAGTAATACCGGTAATCTTCGGTATAGTCTATTGATTCAGTGATCGGATCATTGTACACACCTATGGGTTTACATTGAACCATACTTACTTGTAGAAGTCTAGTCACCGGACTGTGTCCAATAGGATATTCTAGTAACGTTGCCATAGGTCGGATTAACCGTCTACTACCGTGATCGGTACGTTGCAATCACCCGTCCGTGTGTGTTTCCTTTCCGTGATGACAGGGGATGGCTCGCCCCCGTGGTGCTCGCCCCCTCTCGAGAAGAGAGCGCGCTCTCTTCTTCTACTCTCTCTCTCTCTCTCTCTCTCTCTCTCTCATTCTTTCTTCTCTCTTTTCTCCTTCTCTACTTTCGGCCAACTAAGCGCCAATACAACCATATCATCAACACAAGTGTACTGTACAGTAGTCACTCTGTGAGCCTCTGCACACCGTTACTACACGGTGGCCACTGGCAGGGATACAGCCTACACAGGGTTTACATCCCAACAGCAGATGCATGCATGGAAAACTGGGCAGGGCCAATCAATGCGATGCATATAGCATGCATGCACATCAACTTTTTTTACTTTGCTTTCGGGCACGTCTTCGCCCTACATACAGCACCCAGCCAGCCGTGGCGCGCAAGGCCTCAACAGGTTGCTGCCCAATTTGTCCGAAATTATTTCCGGTGGGCTTCACCCACCGGGAATCTACTCATCATATAGTCTATTTGTTTTCATACGTCCTCACCGTTACTTTGTCTGCTCTCTTTGTGACCCACTTTTTTTGTCCGAAAGGTACCCACCCTTCTTTGTCCGAAATGTGTACCCATTTAAAATTTGTCCCATTTTTCTCACGGCACAACTTCAACCTACATCGCCTTGACTGGGGTATTGCTACTCCTACTTCGTAACGGGAAGTCTAGCTTTCAGTGATTGTATGCATAATAGGCATATCATCTCCCTCTGTCCGGGAATATAAGGTCGATAAGAATTCCTGAATAATGTACGAGGAGGGTGCCATGAGTGTGAAGGGAGAGAGAGAACATTGCTGCTGCTCGGCATTATTGGTTGTCGAGGTGCTGCTTGTGTGGACACGAAGGGTTGATCGAGTCGATCGAGTGTTTCATCCGGGGTTGTTCCGTGTCTCCTCGGGGTATTTATCAGTCTTGAATCTTGAAGAGAATATGAGAATATGCATACGATTCAGATATAAATAGGATGATTTATACATACATCGCGGTCCGCTTATTATGTTATTCTGTGTTCCTTTCTGTTCTTTTCTCTTCTTTGAGACCAAAGAAAACGGCAGAACAAAATACTCTTTTCTATGATAGAGATGGATTCGTTGTGTCATATATTAAGAAAAATAAAAAAGAAACTTGCTCGAGATCGGACTTCATCGGTTTCAATAGGAACGAGAGGTCGAAATATCTTCGTCCATTTCGCCAATCTGCGGATCTTCGCCCTCCCTCTAGGTCCGGCTATGTGTCCGAGGTCTGAGTCTGGGTGTACAGCGACCAGGCCTGAGCGGTGTGGGCACCAGTTAGACAAACGAGGCAGCAGGGCGGGCACAACGGGATGCGGGCGTGTTTTCGTGTGCTTGATTGATAGTGCGAAAATCTTGAGAATATCTTGCCCAAGTTCCGTGACGCACCCGTCGGTCTTTGGCTGCACAGACACGCCCCTGTTCTGAGCACATCCAGAACACCGCCATTTTGGCCATCATACCATCACAACAGCACACCATCACAGCGTGCAGCAGTGAGGACAGGGAGACGGTTTACGCCAGGATCTCCTACTGGGTACCGTGGACGAGTTCCGGGAAACGGAAGAGTATCGCCATGGCGCCAGCAACTTCAACAACATCGGAACAGGTGCGTCAACCACGGAGTCTAACTACCGTTGCTCCCCGTTCGGGAAATACTCTGCTCATCAAGCACTTCTTTCGCGAGGAAGCGTTGTTTGGAACTGTCTAGGCTTCCGCAGTATTCCAACAGCGCTGGTGATTTAGTCGTGGTTGTGCTTGTACATCTGTCCAACCTCTCGTTCCTCTTGTTGCCCTAGAGGTCCAAGACGGCACGCGGACGGGTGTGTTCAAAGTGTGTCTTGGTGTAAAATTTTAAAATTTTGATTTTGATTTGTTGCTCCGCCTGCCCGGACTGCTCTGGATGCAGTTGTGTGTGTCTCGCGCCAAGGCGCGCGCCAGGTCAAGCATCACACAAGCTCAGCAAGAACATCTCCTACTCAATGTGAATGGACAGCTACCTATTGTTGATCCAAGCGAGCTAGCTTCTCCGGCAGGCACCCACAGCAAGTACATGTATGAAGTATCACTCCATCTGTATATCGCAGCGACTCCCAGCAGCATCAAATTATTCATGATCTTGGATCCCGCCTGAATCAACGCTCCTCAAGTTACGACGCCACTACCCCAGATGTCGACCGCAAATGGCCCCGCAGGTCGAGACAAACTCGATGGGATTCGGTGCCTTCTTTGCAGCAGTGAGCGTTGAGAACCTTACTTATTGAATGAGCTTGCTGGAGTCTGAAATATGAGGGATGACAGCCGCTACAAAAATACTACTTCACACAGAAAATGAGAACCAAGAACTACTTTGTACCGCTGTACACCCTTTACAATCGCTCGGTACTGCTGGTTCAAGTCATGCAGGAAACAAGACCGACCTCGGGTACGAAACAGGAGAGACACCGGTGTACATGTAGACTGAATCATCATACCAAGGGTCCAGTAGCTGAGCTGGTGCCACGTGAAAGAGGACACACTGCCGGAACTAGTGTGTCTTATTACACTGCCGTCAGGTCTAGTCCACATACATCGCATGCAATCTATGTAGCAAGCAGCTGCATTTTCCAGCGTTGTACCTCGACATCTCGACACACTCGCGGTAGACTATTGATATCGCGGCTTTGTCTTCAGCACCAAGAGGAGCATCGCGTGACAAGCACCTTCCTGTGCTTAAAATTTCCCCCAAGGTTCTTGGCGATAGTGTATTGGATTCATTCATGTTTTTGCGCTCGACAACAGGCTCCTGGCAAGCGGCCGGCGACGCCCCCTTCATTCGCTGCCTCCGGCTTGCTGGTGCCCTCCGTGTTCTGGTTCTTGGGCGTCGTCGTCGGGAAGGCGTCGGGATGGAAAGAGTGCTCCGTGTCGCCGGAGGACAGGTGGAGCCCGGCGCCATCGAGGACTTCGACTGCCGCGCTGAGGATGCGCTTCGACTACGAAAGGCGGTACACTTGCGACTCCAAACACGGTGCGTGCCACGTGGACAAAGAATGGGAGCATCAAGCTGAGCCCTGAGTACAAGTAGAATGGCACACCTGGTTCTTCAGGAATACCACTCATTACTCGATAACAGCCACCGCCTTACCTTACGCAAACCTGCCGTGGCAGCCCGTACATGTACGTCCATGCCTTCTCCGACCAAATACCGCTCCCGTCCCCCAAAACGGCGTTTCGTCGCCCCACTCCCCCCCAACGACATGAAAATTCTCGACAGCCTCCTACTTGGCAGCCTCCTACTACTTCGACTCTCCCTGCACGGCAAGGCGATTCCCTTCCCCCCCTGACGTCACTTCGGTGAGTGAGCGAACCGTTTACCCTGACATTTGCTGCTATTGTTGTTGTTGTTGTTGGTGTTGTTGCTGCTGCCTTCACATTGCGTTTGGGAGCAGAAATATCGATCGCTCCTCGGTGCGGTACGTGTTTAAGTTTTGGGGTGGGCGCTTTTGAAAACATGAAAAGAACTGCGACAACTCGAAATATGTAGGTGGAACGCTCAGGACACCGCTCTCGGAAGACACATCCTCCCCCGTTTCTCGTGAAGGTTTTTGGTAGGGCACGAAAAAAAGCCCGTTTCATTGCTGATTTTGGGGGGTCGGTCTGATGCACACGCGTGGAGGAATACAGATGGCGCCCACACTTCAGAACCTCTAGTGTAGTTTCGGCCGAGGCTGGGGTTCTTATGTTGCTGATCATCCTCTTGTGGGCTACAAATCGCCATTATTATATATGGGTTTTAGTGTAGGGGTTCTTAACCGGGCTCACAAATGGTGCTCAAGTTCTTAGCTTCTGATTTTTTCGAGTCTCAATTTCTTAACTGCCAAGTTCTTAGTCTAAGTGCGGGCGCTATCTGTAGCGACGACTTCCCCGCTTGCTCTTTCGTGGACGGAATTTCTCTCCAACAACGCCTGAAGAAATTGCTCTCCGGAAATTCTTCATATATAATAAATAATATAATAGTAACAATTCTTTATACTAAAAGAAAAAAGACTACCCGTTCGCGGGGTATCTTGCCGGGACATAACACAACAACATGTTGAGGCTCTCGCGTTTGCCACGCGCACCCGGAACACTTCATCGTCTACGAGGTCTTTGGCAGAGGTGGTTCCACTCACGACTTTGATTGCTTCCCACCTCTCATATCGAAGTGAAAAAAAAGAGAGAATCGAAGCCACGATCTGCTCCTTGTAGGTTTGCGAGGTTATCCAACTAGATAGACCAGCGGAGCGACCACGTTTGGCGCGCTTTCCTGAAAAAAACACACTCACAAAATAGCGACGAGGGCGCCGCAAGTGCGTCATCATCGCCCCCTCCTTCCTCCCTGCCAGGGGTCTAGGTTTTTCGATCTTCCACTGAAACTTGACCGGTGCCCTCCCTCCGACAACCTTGGCTCTTGCCTTCGTGCCGACGCTGGAAAAAAAAACAGTGCTTGAAGGGGAGACGAGTGATTTTCCTGGGGGACTCTCTGTCGAACCAGCAGGGGGACTCCCTCATGGGCATGCTGGGCTGGCACCCAGATTGGATGACCAAGGGGGCCCCGCGAAACAGCAAGGTGGAGACGACGCAGATCTACCTGCCTGTAGCTCAGAGGGGGGGAAATAAACTTACGTGGGGATCTGAGGATTGAGTGTGGGGGGCGAACGTGCGTTTTCTTCTACAGTGTGCAATTGCTTCCGGTAAGACACCCAGTGTTGTACAGGGCCGCTCCCCGCGAATGCCGTGTCTCGATTGGGTTAGGTGCCTCGTGTTCACGCGTCCCTTGCCCCGCCCCTTTTCGTTCCGCTGCGGTTACTGCTTCTCCCGGGCAGCTGGATATTGAGGACGGATCGAAGCACTTTACCCTGGTTGACTGCTATCACCCTTCACTCGGTGGGATCCAGAGATGCTACGACTATTCCACGAGCGCCTTCCCCCCGCCTGCAGCTTCAGATCACCCGGTGTCGCGAGAGGTAAGCCAGGCGACAAGCCTGGAGGAATGCCTCCCTTCGGGTTTCGAAACGATGAAAACTTTGGGCTATGCTGGTGGTCACAAGATATGATTTCGTTGGAGGCAAGACAGTTGTGAGAGATTGGTGTACGGTTCCGTGGATATGGTCTTGAGTATTGCAGGGCTTGCAGAAATTCTTCCTTGGAAACCACACTCGTGGAGGTACCTCGTTTCTGAACTTGAACATGTTGAAATGCTGACAGTGAGCTCTAGTTCCTGGCGGGATTTTCCCTGCGGTTCTCCCTAGACTGGCCTCCCTCGGTACGTACAAAGGGTGCCATTGTCAACGCTGCAGTCACTACCTTTTCTTCGCATGCATAACATATGAGCGCAGAGGTACATGTAGCATTGTAGCAAAGGCTGCAGGGTCGGACGTTTCGTTGACGTTTTCTTACTGAAACTTGCGTTTTTAGATGCTTGGTTAATTTTCTCTTTGGGTAACGCTCTCTCGCTTTCTGTCTCCTCACGTTTCCATCTCTCGCCCCCTAGTCGCTGTCCACCCACTGCCGCCACCGTACCCCCCTCCCCACGTGGTCTCTCCTCGCCTCTGCCTGCTTGCCTGACTGCCCCTGTGACCGACCGTAATTGCCGCCCTGACACAAAAGAAATCGCGAAAAAAGAAGTCCATCCGTGCTGGGGCAACATCATCGGAAAAGGTAAAGCTGTCCATGCGAGGCAGGACAACCACCGCGATAAAGACCGCCCAAACCAAAGGCACAAGAGGCCTCGGACACAAGAGGCGCAAGAGCCAGAGGCACGGGCGGTGGTGGTGGTGGGGAGAGGGGCACGGACAGGAGGAGGAGGAGGAGGTGGAGGAGGAGGAAATAGAGGAAGAAGAGGAAGCGGAGGAAGAGGAAGCGGAGGAGGACGAAGTGGAGTACGGGGAGACTTTCGACGTCGATGGGAATGAAATCTCGGTGCACATGCGGATGCTTTCGAGGCCCAGCGGCGAGCACTGGTGAGAGAAAAGAGGCAGAGAGGAGCAAATATGTTGCGCCAAGTTCATTGTCCTCGCCCCCCCCCCCCCCAAAAAAAGGAAAAACGACCCCGGGGAACCAAATCCTGTGCTTTCCCCCCCGTCTTGGGAAAAAAGGTCGTTGCTTGGTACCGTATATGTGGTACTCAGTTTATGCAACGAAATGTTTACGTCTTGACCTCATGGGAGAAGGTTTTGTATCAGCTCGTAGACAGGCGCTCTCGAGTACTCAAAACGACAAGCGAAGGAGTGGGATGAACCACAAGCATGATCGGTACAGGCATGATGCGAGGGGTGAGGATTTTGCATCAATGCACCTTGTAGGGCGAAGGAGGTCAAACCTCCCGGTATTGGGGATGGAATCAAGATTGAATCATTCCAAAGGGAACAAGAGCTGAAAGCAACACATGCCGCGCGAGAGAAATCTATCCCCACCGCGTGTTTGTAGACAGCCACAGACCAATTTTACGATTGCTGTGTCATGCTGTGTGTCTGGCGTTGTTGTTGTGGGGATGTTTCTTCTCCTGGTGCCGCAGGTTGTTGAAGGCCGCGAGCGACTTCAACGAGACGAGAGCCTCGGACGTGTTCGTGGTCAACTTCGGGGGTCACTACCACGACATACCCGAGGACGACGAGGAGTTCAAGACGGACATGATCCCCGTCCTCCAAGACATGGCGGTTCTGGGCCAAAACGCCACCGTCATTTGGAGGTAGGTACACAACGGGGGGGGTCTGCTGCTACCTAGCACATTCATCTTGGGGATTCGCCTCAAGAGCCCAGCTTTGTCCCCCGGTCTATTCACTGATTGGGTTCGCCAGCGTTTCAGGGAGGGGAATAGCGGAGCGTAAGAGAGGCTAACCGCCACAAGGATTAACCAGAGAGATACAGTTTCCACGCAGAACGTTCGTAGTACCGAGACGGAATGTGCGCCTTCCCCTCTGTCTCCCCTTTTCTCAAGGACGGTGTCAGTTGATCCGATGTTCGCGACGGCACTACATAGACCATATGACCTCATCATGATCTGTCGTTCTGTTCTCTCCCTCTCTCTCTTCGTGCAGAGAGATCGCCCCGACCCACTTCCCCGCCGCGAATGGGTCTTACGACTCTTACGCCGACCTGGACGCGAAAGATCTCACACCGAGGTGCACTGGGACTCCGCCCAAAGTATTCGACCGAAATGAGGTGAGCCGTTGTTGCCGCTGCTCTTTCATGTTTTCTGGTGCTCCACCCCTCGAAGTTGTACGCGACAGTCACCTGGTGTTCGACCTGTCAATGTGCATGTAGTTCAGCCCACGCCGACGTTGCCCTCGCGACGGGATCGCCTAGGTGGTAACACTAGTCTCGACGGAGGCGGTAAACAACTGCTACCCCTCGTTCTGTAGGAAGAAGTATTCCCATAGGAGAAGCAAGCTCTCACTTATCGAAGCGATTGTTCACCAACCACTCGACGAAGAACTGCACCCGGGGCGATCTGTTAGGGTGGTGGGGGTGGGGGGGGGCTCTTTCAGGTGTTCTAGAATGTGACCAACCGCATCATATCTGGAAGTTTTGGCGGAAAATGGAAAATAAGCAAATAACAAGGAGAACGTTCCGATCGTCTCGGGTGCCTAGCAGGCAAGCCGGGTGCAAGCTCGATGGCGGCTGATGGAAGGACAAGTGTAAACAGCGTGCACACAAAGCTGGGCACGTTCTAGTCTACTATTGAATCGCGCAGCGACCTAAACGCAGTAGTGTGACACACCGAGCCCTGCCTCTTTGTTTGTTTCCCGGCCGTTGTTTTGTCCGCCGTGTGCAGTGGGTGGAGAACTACGTGCGCGACAACGGTCTCGAGGACAGGATCAAGCTGCTTCGAATCTACGACATGTCGGTGCCACGGGGAGCGGCCCATCACACGTGTCACTTTGCGCCGGTGAGTGCGTGGGCGGTACCATGTGTATGTAGACGCACACACGACGTTCTCGAAGCAATTGACGGTTACAGCGGCACGATGATGCCTGCCACACTAACACAGGCCCCCGTCGCCTCCAAACTTAACGTTTACAACGGCACCGGCTTTGATGAGCTCCACAACCTGATCTAACACAGACCACGTCGACACCAATTGAACATACAATGGCACCGGGGATTGGATTACCACTATTACGAACTTACTGCTGCAGCCTTGCGGGTCTTCAACAACGTTTCTGCTCCTTCTCCGCCTGCCGCGTGCGTGCGTGCGTGCGTGCGTGCGTGTCGTTTTCGCGTGATTGATTGTTGTTGAATTGCAGCCGTCTACCATGAAGCAGCCCCGGGTGAAGAACGACGGCCGCGGTGCGGCTTCCGGTCCGATCGACTGCAGGCACTGGTCCGAAACCGGCGTCGTCGAGGAGTGGAACACCCTCATGCTCAACCACCTCTGCCCGATAGAGTGACGTCACTCTCTCCGTTTCATTGGCCCACGCTTCCAGAGGTGGAGCTGGCTGAAGCTTCCTTGCGTGGTGGGTAGTCGTGCAGTGGTGGTGAAAATGAGGAAGATTGTGCCATGGCCGGGTAGTAGAGGAGGAGGAGGAGTGTCTCGCGCGCTTGGTCGAGAGTCACCTTGACCCCCCCTGGGCTGTTGTTCTTCTTCTTCTTGCGGGTTGGCGGGGAGTTGCAATTTTACTTTTTCTGAGCATCACTTGAGCAAAAACCCGGTACCGCAGCGTTGCCACGGCGGCACGGTGCGCGGGGTTTCGAGACATGTTGGAAACCTTTCATTTTTTTTTAACGATGCGCGCGAGGTGATTCGATTGATAAAAGAGTTTAAAGCGGTTAGATTTTGCTTGCTAACCATGTGGGGTGGCCAAAATCATTGTTTGATTCATAAATGTTTGCCCGAAAGAAAGACGACTGTCGGTCTCATTTGGAACAAGTTCGGGGTATATTTGATCAAGTTTCGTGTTCTTAACCTATAAAAGTAGTGTGGACGACGGATAAAGGTCGACTTTAGAGGACGTACGCATAGAAATGGATGTACACATTAGATTCAGGTGGATGGAGAGCATTCGTGTTTTGATTGATTGGGGCGATCGATGACTTGTTTCCGTATCATCGAACCCTAAAACTTCATGTACGTGTTTACTTGAGAGTTGATCAGCGTCGCTTCCTTCGGTTGAACCGTATGACCTACAGTACTCGGCATCTTGCACCCTTGTGGCCCGACGCTCTTTTGGTCCGTTCTGGTGGTGGTAGCTTGAATTGAGCGAGCCATCACTCTCAAGATTTTCGGCAGCGCAGCATGCTGTGCAGGTGCCATCTAGTGTTCGTATGTAGAATATTGATGTACCAATTGTTTCGTGCCTCACCTCAATGTGACGTGACAACCTGAAGTTCGAGGAAACTCTGTCAATACGTACGTTGTGTGTATGCGTATTTCCTGTGTCCTCCGATAGCTGGTAACAAGGAATGTGTCTCTGCCCGTGTTTGCTTGTTGGTGTGGTCAGGAAAATAGTGTGGATGGATATTGTCGTGTTGTCGTCGGTGAAAAGCCCTGTTTGTTTGTCGTGAGGCTCGGTTTTTGTTTAGCCCTTTAGCGTGGCCGTTTGAAGTCGATCGGGGAGGATCACAGGGTTGCGGGTAATCGCGTAGACATTTGTTCAGCACAGGTGGTATAACTATGAATTCTTGCATCTTGCCCACGTGCGGGCAAGCCATAGGATCAGGATGTCCCGGCTGCGTGGTGCCATGTGATTCCTACGTTTCCGTTTAAACGTTGTGAGATGCTGATGTCCATTTTCGTACAACGCCGCGATCCTGTTGTCGCCGTCCATGACCGCGAGTTGATCTGCAGCAAGAAGTACATCCTTGATTCTTTCATCACCTTTTGTGCGATTTGGAGGCAGGCGCCGTTCTTCTTTCAAACGACAAGGGGGTGATAAGCGTCGAAGAAAGTGATGAATGGTTTCTTGAGCCGAGCCGGGCCACAACCTCCTCCAAATTATGTCCTTTCTATTGCAACAATTGGATGGGTGCGGTCGACGTTGCTATCGAAGCATATTTTCGTTCATATGTACAGGCACTATTGTGGCTGAATGAGTGGTTGAAGCGATTTGCGGTACGTAAGCGAATTTGGATTAATACCCTTCACTTGCAAACATATTCGGCGGTTGACAAGCAACCGATTGGTGGTGTTTCCACCCGATGAATCACACACCCCACGGCACACGGCCGTGGTGACGGCGGCGAGGGTGGGTGGGGAAACGGGTGCGCTCCCGAACTACCAGATATCGTCTTCCCTGTCAGCGAAGAAGCGGTATCGATCGACTGTCGGTAGTTTGTGCTTCACTCTTGTACCGAATTTTGCCCAGGGTATTTTGTCGAACAGCAGTGACGGAGAGGGGGTAGAGGGCACGGTTGCGAAAAAATCTAAGGACGTGCGATGGGAACAGACATGTGTCGTATAGTCGTGCTTCTGCGTTCACGTTCGCAGAAAATGTCAGCGTCAACAATGACGCCATTGGTTTGGGTCAAGCACACCACCTTTTACTACAGAGAGTTTCGGCGGAAGCCTCTTTGCACGGTAACGTTTCGCGGAAATCGTCCAGAGGTATTTTCCGGCGGAAAGTTCCCACGGACAGAATGGAACTATGTCGACCAGTCTGGAAGCTCCAGCGAGAATGTGGTGAGGTTCGCGGAGAGTTCCCGTGGAAAGTCCGGCGTTAACGCAAAAGTCCGGCGTTCTGGTGGAAACTTCGGACCCTGCGCGGAAACTTCCTAGTTGCCGGAGGAACTTTCCACTTTCCGCGGGAGGATCGCGGAAACTTGCCACGGTAACCGGGCCAACATTCTGGGCATCATGGTTGTTTTATTGATGCTTTGCTTTGAGTAGGGACTTGTCGGGAATATTGTAGACTTGCTCTAGTTTTTCCTGTTTCCTCAACGGGGTTGGTACTTGACAACGATTGCCCATCTCGTACGATACGTGGTGCCTGCCGCGTGAGAGGACCATCGCACTATATTCATCAAAGCTATACAGACAGGTATGTTTTTGCGGGGGCAGCTTCGTCAGAGACTGGAAGAGAAGCGATGCTGCTCAAGCTGTGTGGTTCTTGAGAATAAAACGAGAGACAGCTATGATGGAGTCTTCTTCCACAGCATCCACCTAGCGGGAGACCGTGTATATCAATACTCTGCCGAGTGACCCCAAACACTCCCCCCGTACTCCGTACGAGATACGACCTATGAAGAAAGAAAACCTCCTCACGAACTGCCCGGTAAAACGAGACTATATTAATCCGAATAACTCCCCTTATTCCTGAAACCGTCAACTTGGTTGCCCCCAAAGCACAGTACAAACATCTCCCGAGTTCGTTGAATGCTCAGATTTCAACTCACCTGAAATTACGTTTCAACAATTCGTTGACCAATTCATGTACCCTTCCGGAGCACGTACGGAGTACCAGGGGTGTAGACTGTATGTTTTTATTATGACAACCCCTTTTACCACAAACGTCATAAAAAAACCCCAAACGGCAATCAAACAAAAAACAACACGAAAAACCCGCATGTCCATCATACCATTAATATCCACGTAGTCTCCATAAATCAATACTCTGCCTAGTGCCCCCAGACGTGCTCACGCTTGGCTGGCTGAGCGTTCTGAGTGTCTTCCCCCGTGATGCACTCGTTTTTGTGCCGCGCGTATTCCTCCTTTACTCGAATTCGCACTCCATGTCCTCCTCGCAGCAGTCTTCGGCCCCGTCACCCTTTCCCATGGATGATTTCTTCTTCCTGGCTCCTGGCTGGACCTGGTGGGCTGAGCTTTTCGAGGAGGTGGAAGGCTGCGGCGTTCCTGTCCCACCACAACAGCAGGTGATCTTACGCCCCTGCATCGTGGGCGCACCCCCACGCGCCTGAAGGGTGCTGATGAAGCACAGTCCCCACGCTAGCAAGAGTAGCTCTGAGGGCCAAGAATGGGAGCCAACAGCGCGACAAAAAGGAACATCGACCGAGGAGGTGGTGGCATGGTGACAGAGAACAGGTTCTTGGCTTTGTATGACGATCATCACGGAAAGAGTTTTGGTACAATGTGTACAGTAGGGTTTTGCGGGGTGTAGCGGGGTAGTGCCCCACCCGCAGGACAAGCAAATATTGCGTTCGTTTATCATCAGCGAAAGCCTATCGCATCCCATCGGAGGGGGGAGGGGGAGAGCATGCTTCTCGCATGTGAGGATGCCTACAACAACATTTTTCTTCGGGTGTGTACTTGATGTTGATGCTGCTGACCCAACATTAAATTCGATCGACTTCTAGCGATTGCTTCTCGTGTTCCGAGCTCTTCAAGGCAAACCCGTGAACTTGTCGGTTGCAATCAAATCATGGAAAGGGAGAATGCCCAGGCGGTCCTACCAACAGCAAGAGGAACGAGTCGGCGAATTGCTGTTTCATGGGGTCCATGGAAATACTGTAGGCGTGTTATACTGCTGTCAATTTCCCGCCGCTTGTAAAAATAATAAGGCGTTGTAGAAGTAGGCACATGATTTGTACGGAAAGGAGTCTAGACTAGACTATGTAGCTAGACGTTTCGCCAAAATGTAGAGAGTGTTCATGTAGGGTTACAGTAGTATCAGAATGGATGGCATTCGTTGGTGCGTGCCATCATCGTTAGCATCGACCGCGCTAACCAGCTGATAGACGATGAACAGTCTCAGTTCGACCGAGAAAAGAAAAAACGCTTCAAAAGGCCATGATTTGGAATCCCGTGAGGAAGGGTCACGGAAGCTGGTAGGTACTGTCCGGATTAGAGCTGTGCAGTCTGTTTAGCTGCAGAAAAGGTATCATACATAGTATATGAAGATACATCAACATGTCTGCGGGGGCTTCTACTCATGTTCTCCATTGGGCCTCCTTCACCTGTTGTTGCTTGTTCTATCTTCCTCTTCGTGTTCAGTTCTCGCCCCGCTGATGGTCTACATATTTTTGGCAGATATGTTGTCACAGTGGTTATAACGCTATCGGTTAGGGTAATTCACTCATGTGTTAGCGTAACAAGCACTGGCTAGGGTTCCGTTAGTTTCATCCATTTCATGGTCAGTTTCATGGTATCTTACCATTGGATTCAAGTTGGGGGCTAGCAAAAGGGATACAATCCCGGTGGGTCTAATCAAGGTGGGGCTAATCAAGGGGGAACTAGCAAGGGGGGTCTAGGCAAGATCTATCCAGATCTACCTATCATGCTTTGACTCACAGACTGGTTGCTTCTTAGCGGGTGGGTCAAAGTTCCTCTTTCGAGATTGGCCGTGTTAACAGTGAGCGATCACCCAAAACACGTGTTGAGGCGGAGGTCTAGAGGGGCTCCGCCAATGATTCAGGTACACCCTGGGGTATACCCTAGCCCTCCTCAAACCATCGTGAAATGGAATGATTCTCAGTATTTAGCACCCGTCCACATGCTACCGTGACACTGTGTTGGAGATCAGCTGCAGTCAATGTAGAAATACAACCATGTGGTCTCTTCCACATCATTACTGCCTCGTTGTGTGTTGTTGCCGTTCAGCCGAAGCGAGCGCACCCATAGTTCGGAGGCTGCCCAAAGGTATAGAGGCTGCCCAAAGGTATATTGGGGTATACTGGAAGTTGTGAAGTCATGTGCTCGGTTTCATGAGGCATTCGTCTTGCATATTACTGCCTGCCAAAAACCAAAACCAAAAACATTCCCCAAACCTAACACCCATTGATAAAATCAAACACCCCCCATAATAATATATATTGCGTCCCCAAAGCTGAAAAACCCAATATATATATCGCATAACAGGGAAAACATTTTCCTGGGGATTCTGATGTACACGTTGAGTTGTGGGTGGGATTCTTTCGAGCATCACGCCACTACTGTGTGGCTCGCTGTCGAAGCCCGCTTTGCGTCCATATCATCAGCAGGACTTGCTGCCCGTTGAGGTGGCGCTGACAAGAAGCCCCGCTGAAAGTTGATACTCAGACTTTTTTTCAGCCCTCTCTTCGGTTTGAAAGTCGTGGGAGGGCATCGGTGTTTTACGTTACAAAACAAAGAAGCAACAAATCACCTACAGTTGTGGGACACATCCGCGGGTGATACCCTGACATTGTGCTTCGGTCACGAGCAAACACCAGTAGCAAGAGTGGGCTTCTAACGTGATCGCCCAGGGAGAATGAGAGAGAGAGAGAGAGAGAGAGAGAGAGAGAGAGAGAGAGAGAGAGAGAGAGAGAGACGCCCGGTTCCTGGTCCAGAGGGCGGCCGTTTCAGCGGCCGGGTTCGAAAGGGAACATGCGGCGCAATATTTGAAAAAAATCAAGTTTCCCCCCCTCTACAACTCCCAACCCAGTTGCCAACCCAAAGTTGAACTCATCTTCATGTTTCTTGCTCTCCCTGGCGCCAGCGTAATCCAAAAGTAGCGGCAGCTACTACACGGCACCCAGTATGGAGGCTCGGTGGTTTGCGGCCGATGTCCGGGGTCATGGTGCTACCATACCGATCGTGGCACACAACAGGGTGAGTGCGGCCGGTTTTTCTCAGACATTCAAACACGAGGTTCCACCGCAGATTGAGGAACGGATTGCAGTACAGTAGTACTGCGGCAGCCGTCGTGGTAGGCTAAAATGAGTAGCGTAGCATGTATGAAAACTCTGTTGCCTTACATTTGCGCGCCACCAATCAAGGGTGGAAAAGGAGCGCAGTTACACATGTGGATGCGTAAGTACGAAAGTGTCTCCGCATGACACATCGCGATGGTCGTTTCTGCTGAAGGCTACATGCAGTTTGTCCGTGCCACATCACGATGATGGCTTCTTCAATCCATAACCAAGCAAGTTAAAGTTTGCAGCACATTGCTGTATTCACCCGTCTGTTTTCGCAACGGTCTTCGAACCGCTTTCACTCCTAATGTTTGATCGCCTTCATTGCAGGTGGCGTCGTCAGCTGCCCGAGGACCGAATCGCCCCCGCCGACACCAGCAACAAGAGGACCCAGGCTCCCTTCTTGAGAAAAAACGCCGAGGTGACAAAGAAGCAGTGGGTTGGTTGAGCAGTACTGGATGCTATAGCATCAGCATGCACCTGAAAGCTATCTAGTAACATCTGGATCGTGAGGTCGAAGCTCGCCGCAGTTGCACATTCTTGCTTGTAGGCATGCACAAACAAATACCGACAGCGATTAGTTTGTGTGACACTTCGACGTACGGCTTGAAGAGGGAAAGGAACGGCTGAAGTGTTCTCGCGAGAGAGGTTAGAAAGCAACGTAAAGAAGGTGGAGAAAAATGACACAATAAACTCTTTAAACTTGCCTTCCTCCTGTGTGACCCCGGCTGTTGCGTCCGACAGCATTATATCCCGACGTCCAGAATGAACATTGGCGGACACAAACAGCGTCTTGCTTCTTGAATGTATAGTCACGACTCCGGTTCAACGGACTAGTTACAGCAGGCCCGCAGTCTCCTCAACAGCCGCTTTAGAACTTTCACCACATGTTGCGGAAAGTATACCTATCCGCAAGAAGAAAAGGCAAGTTGTCTGGACAATCCTAGCAAGCCCGATATCACGGTGACCTTCGCCAAACTTCGCTTACAGTCTAACCCTTGGAAAATCCGAAAATCTATCGCTGCCTCACCGCTGTTGTACTGCTGGCCGCCGCTTCCCAGGCCTGTTTGCCTGTCGCACTAGTGTGGGTATTCGCCCTGTGTGCCTGGAGGTGGTACAAGGGCAAGCTGCCGGCATGGCAGACACGAGCCGCCGACACGGCCGTAGCGGCTAACCTCAGAGATGAGGAGGAAGGGGCACGCGACCCGCCGCCACCTGTTCCCACCAGAGGTCCCGAAGGAGGGGCTGTGGCAGGAGCGACAGGAGCGGTGGTAGTACGTCCCGCTGTCCTGAACCAAGCCCTTGAAAAGATCGAGGAGGGATCGGCCGCGGAGGCTCCAGCAATCGTTGTCAATACCAACGGTGATGGCCGGCGAGGTAGGCGGGTGCCCTCTCCCGCCATCGGTCGTGGGGGTCTCCAGGGTGAGGCGCGAGTACGGCCACCCCCTGATCATGTTGGAGTTCCAGTTGGGGCAGCGGCGATCGTTGCGGCGACACCACATCATGCTGGCCTCAACCGTGTCTTGGAGGATGGTGTAGAAGAGGTGGAGAGAGTGGCGGTTGTCCGGATGCCCAACATCACGGCCGTCGATGTGGTACCGCATCCTGCGGTACCCCTTGCAGGTGTCCATCAGGGGGGAGAGGCGTTTCTACCTGCCGATGCCATCGCAGACAACAGCGGAGGAGAAGAAGGGGCGCATCAAGCTGCGGTGGGCTTGCTGCCGATACTTCACCGTGGTGAGGATTTCGACCTATCACATCTCCCGGCAGGCCTTGGGGATGTCGAGCAGGATGGAGGTGCAGTGTTGCCGCCGGGTCTCTTCGGATGTTTGGGTGAAGAGGGGGAAAAGGTGGAGGAAGAGAAGGTGGCGGAGGCCCGGATGCCCAACATCACGGCCATCGATGTCGTACCGCATCCTGCGGTACCCCTTGCAGATGTCCATCAGGGGGGAGGAGGCGTTTCTACCTGCCGATGCCATCGGAGACCACCGCGGAGGAGGAGAAGGGGGGCGGCAAGCCGCGGTGGGCTTGGTGCCGACACTTGACCATGGTGAGGATTTCGACCTATCACACCTCCCGGCAGGCCTTGGGGATGTCGAGCAGGAGGGCGGGGCAGTGTTGCCGACGGGTCTCTTCGGATATTTGGGTGCAGAGGAGGAAAAGGTGGAGGAAGAGAGGGTGGCGGAGGTCCGGATGCCCACCATCGCCGCCACCGATGTCGTACCGCGTCCCGAGGTATCCTCTGGAGGTGTCCATCAGGGGGAGGAGGCGTGTCTACCTGCCGACGCCATCGGAGACAACCGCGGAGGAGAAAGGGGGCGGCAAGCCGCGGTGGGCTTGATGGCGACGCTTGCTGCCAACACCACCGAAGTCCGCCATGATGAGCAGGCAGAATCATCACATCGCCCAGCACGCTTTGGAGATCGTGCGCAAGGGGGTGGTGGGGCAGTGTTGCCAACGGGCCTCTTCGGGTATCTTGGTGAAGAAGAGGAGAAGATGGAGGAGGAAGAGGTAGTGGAGTCGGCACACACATCCAACCTCACAACCGGACACGCGGGGCAAGAGCAGGGGACTCTGCTACCCGCCGGCCTTCTCGGCTTTCTGGGGGGCGTGGAGGAGGGAGAGGCGGCGCCTCGAGTTGGTCAATCATGCGAGACGAGCCGTCAGCACCAGGAAGGGCGGCAGCATGAACCAATCATGCTGCGAGAGAGGATGCAGGCCGGCAACGATCGGGTGGGGCACCGCGAGAGTGCGGCCGGGTGGTGGATGGACGAAGAGAAAGGTTCGTACGTGGCCGCCGCTGGCTTTAGTCGGATCGAGAGCAAGCCACGGGACGAACGCTTCTCAGGCGAAGTCTGTTCCGGAAGGACGATCGGTGCTACCGCAGACCAGGGCATGCGGGCGGAGGCGACGGGCTTGGAGGGCCGTGCTATGCGGGCTGAGGGGCGTGTCGATATGTTCGATCACCGTCTTGAGGTGAAGGGGAAAGGGGTGAGGTCTCGCAACGGGAGGTGGTGATACATGCAGATTGTTTTACGTGTTACGCTGACATGTATCAACACCTTGTGCCCATGCAGCAAGAGTCTTCGCACTAGGAAAACACGGTCGATTTTAGGGTACATCTCTTCTTGCAGAGAATCGCTTCCGTTGTACAGAGAACCACGGCAGAAAGCAGCTACACCTTGTGTTTTCAGCTGGCAGCACTAGACTCCAGCTAATGCACGGCGGTATAGTCGTGTCCCTCCCGCATGAAACCCGCTTACGATAACAGCAATGTCCACATTCAGGTACTGATCACTGTTGTGATGTCCCGTTGTTGTGCGTTCCCTGACACATTGAGAGCTAGCTCTTTGTCGGCGCCGCGCTTCCTTATTGTCCCCTCCCCCCTCACATAGCCTTTCGACCGTAAGAGTCCATTGGTGGACCATGAACGAACGTTTTGTCTTGTAACGACATCCTCGTGCTGCTGTCGCCCGGTGGCAGGTTGGCGTTGGGGAGCACCTCTGGACGAAGGAGGACAAGACATGTGAAGACGTTGCCGCCGGCATGCGGCAGGAGAAGCTTGTGTTGCAGAACATGGACGGCATGACATCGCATACTCTAGAGGCCAAGGCTGAAGGCAAGGGTCCGCCGTTGCCATCACCGATGAAGCGGGTCCAGACGCTGAATTCCATCCTAGATGACTCGCCATCGGGGATCGCCGCAGGCAAGGGACCGTCAGCAGCGACGGCTCGGGACGGCAGCATCGCATCGATGGCGTTAGAGGCCAAGGCCGAGGTGAAGGGAGAGGAGTTAGAGCAGGTTCAGGGTCTTCAGGCCTTCTCGCGAGGCGTTCGGGCGGAGGGTGAAGCTCTTCCGTGTATTCCGGAGGGTCGATCCGCGACGGTCGCGGCGGGAGGGCTACCGTCGACGGCCGGGCCGGGAGACGGGCCCTCGATCCGCGCGCCGTCCGTGGGACAGACTGACCGAGCTGACGAGCAGACTCGTCAGTCGGCTTTGACGAGTCTGTCGAGGCAAGTCGGGTGGGGATGGCGACAAAGGGGTAGCATCAGGCGCCTATTCCTGGCCAACCTCGCTGAAGTGTGTGCCTCCGGTCAGGTGCAGAGCTTCGCGGTCAATGCCCTGAAGACCGCGGACATGCCTATGGTGCTCGCGCAACCGCTTGGGTACGGGTCGTTCGGACGAGTGGACGACGTGTCGTACGCCAGCCTCCCCGGCCAGTCGTTCGCCATGAAGACCGTGACACAGATGAGCCGTGTACTGCTGCACTGTCTAGACGTTGCCACTTTTGCTGCGTACGTGTGCACGGGTGGAGAGAGCAGGTTTGGCAAGGAGAAGTGTTGCGCTTGAGACACAATCCGACCACCTCTCGGCCAACACCCTCCAGCTGGGCCCCAACCAGGTGAGGGGCATGTAAAACACTCAAGTCCTAATGTGGTTTGTTGGATGCGGCCGCGCCTCACACCCCGTTTGCCTTGCGACCTCTCTCGTCCAGGCCGCCAGTATGTCGGCGAGGTTCTGTGCGTTGGTGGAGATGACGGTGTTCGCACGGTGAGATTGAGATTGCACCATGGGAGAGGACCTGTGTTTGGACGTTTGGGATGTGGGATTTGCGCGTTTGCTCTCCACGCCAGGGTACTGGGAGGGATAGGGCAGCAGGAATCGCGGGGATGCCCTCGCGACTGCCGCGCGAAGCCGAAGGCGTCGAGTGCTAACAATACACGGGCATGAGTCGCGCGTGTTTCTTTGTTTGTGTAAAGACGACATCCCCTGCCGTTGCACACACACGAGTGCCACCAATACGGTACGTCGGCCGTCCCAAAAGTAACCTACTTTGAACGTATTGATCGGTCGTGCGTCGTGACAAGGCGGAAGCTGCTGGGCCGATGGCGATAGCACCTTGACTGCGACGGCGTAGACAGCGCTTTTCGTCGAAATCGTCCGAGACACCCAGCTGGTGTGTTCAAGTCGATTCAGCCTCCCTGAGTTCTGCAGTGCTACCAACTATGTCAAGACTGGTCGCTGACTCATTCCTCCCTTTCCGTTGTTTACCTTCGTTATCTTTGCAGGCTGGTGGTTGACCTTGCGAGAGGGGTCCACCATATGCACTCCATGGGACTGGTTCACCGGGATATCAAGCCGGGAAACGTCTTGGTATTTGAGTCGGAGGGGCATGGGCTGCATGCCAAGCTGGCGGACTTCGGGTTCACCGCAGGTGAGGTTGTGTGTTCCCCCGCTGCTGTCCCAACTGTGAACCGTTCTGGTCTGACGGCAAAATCCGCTTTGGGCTGTCATCAGTACAAATATCCCCCTGATGCGGAACGTCGTAAAAAGCCGCTTGTGCGTATTGCCCGGGTGCAAGCCGTGCTCGTATGATGTGCTGTCCGAAATCAGTGTTTGGTTTTGGTCGGAGATATGCTTGTCCTCCGAATGGCAACAGCGCTCCTGGCCACCGCTAATGAATGAAACCGGTTGGGCCTTTGGGCGTCGTTGAGTGAACCGTTCGTTCAAGACTGCACGATTTGGACGGCAGCTCATGCAAGGTGCAATACATGGGCATGTTTTTTCTACCCCCCTCAAGTTCTCCTGCTCCCACCTCTCCTGCCAACCGCCGAAAACGTGTCGTGTCGCGCTGTTCGGTGCAACATGTCAAACATGTTAGTACAGAATAAACAAAGAGGGCGGCCAGCTGCAGATACAAAAATGAGGCCCCACCGCTTGTCTGATGTGCCACAAACACGTGCGAAAACTGCAGGAAAGCCACACCCCAAGAGCTTATGATGCACAAGAGACAATAAAATAATACAGCACGTGTCTACAGCACGTTCGCTCTGAAGCCAAACCACGGCGACTCCACTCGCCTCTGCACCAGGAAGAAGACGCCCACGCCGGCCCCGCACTCGCTCGCGTGCAGGGTGCACTCTCCCACGTGCCCCATCCCTTTCGCCCCGGCAGCGAGGACCTGCACCCAAGGACCAACCGAACACACGTGCGTTACACGTTCGTTCGTTCGTCCGTTCGTTCGTTCGTGCGCATCAAAGCAGGAAAGACAAAAACAACACCAGATGGCCATCGCGACTCGTCAAGCAAATGAAGAACACATGCCCCCCTCCTCCAGACCCGAACACGCACACATAGGGGCGGCCGTAAACCTCGTCACCCACAATTTAATTGATCAAACTCGGGTGACTAACGTGGTCAGGAGGATATGTCGCCTTAAAACAAGCCAAGAGAAGAAGGCCACCGCACCTGGCCGCAGACAAGGCACACCGCAGGGTCCGTCTCTAGCCCTGCCGCAGCCCCCTCCGCCGCCGCCGCCGAAGCGTGAGGGCTCTTGGCCAGGCCGTACAGCTCGGTGTAGCTCTCGGGCAGCTCCACCAGGTCGTGGTTATCCTGTCGACAGCGAGACGAGAAACAAAACATAGATCACACATCATGGACATGCACGGACAGAGTAGGGCACAACAGCTTGTCAAGTTCAGGCCACATCCATTCCCATCTTGTCTTTGATCCTTGGCGTAGTCAGAGGGCCATGACCGGGGCCAGTACAAAAACAACACGTGTGAATGAACGGCAAAAACACGCACTGCTGTAGATGGTCACATCCCGCGTTGCACACGCACCTGGCAGCTGACGCCGAGGTGGCTGAGGTCGAAGACCACCCCCTTCAGAGGCTTGCCCGTCAGGTCTGGGGTGGTGTGCCCCCCCGTGAGGCTGCCGAGGCGGGCATCACCACCTGTTAGTAAGTAACAACAGCCATAAAACGACGAACGACGTGTGAGGTCAAGAGGTGAGCGGTTGCGAACAGAGAAAGCCGAGTAAGTGTCGCACTAGAAACAAGACACGACTATCTGTCGAAGAAACGAATTGGATGTTTTGTCAGAAAAATCTAACAAAACAAAAGTGAAACTTCAGCAGCTATCCGTCGTGACTGCATCTGTGGTACCCTCATACATGAACCCTAGGGGGTCCGGGCAGCAAGCAACCACATCAGTCAGCGAGCAAAAAAATACGTACGAATACAGATGACAAAACCAACGACAGCAGCATGGGTTAAAAACATCGCAAGTTGATACAGCGACGCGACCCCATCTAGACAAGTATTCTCCTATACCGGAGGAAAAAACTAGGTGCACAACAGGAGCTCACGAGAGATACCAGAGCAGCGCCCGCATGTGCAAGAACACCTTCAAGCAGGGAATGACTCGGCAGAGAGTGACTAAATCCACAGATATGGAATGAATACAAAGATAGTTAATGAATCTAACGATAGTGAACGAAGGAACCTACAAGTAGTGAATGAGTCGACAGATCAAACATCACAACCAACAGCGCGGAGTAGTCGCGCGACCGCGCGCAAGGAGACAGAAGGGATGCCCTACATACCTGCGGAGCCCCCCCCCTGTTGTAGCAGCTAGAGCCGAAACATCGCCAGGCCATGCCGAGAGTCAGCCATCCACGAAGGCGCCCACCGTTGGAGGCAAACACACACATACAGGGGATGGGGGCGGGAGAGAGGGATTCGTCAACAGGGGGAGACCACAGTAGATGAAAAAAAAAGATGACAAAAAAAGATAAGTCCCTGATCAATCTGCCGGGTGGGGTTTCTCTTAAGACAAGTTCAAATTACGGCACGGGACACACACTAAAACGTTTTTCAGAGGGCCTCACAATAAACATATCTTGAGATAGGCATGAGAAAACCAACATGATAAATATATTGCAATTTGAGACGAGGTGGGGAGTGATCATGATTAGACGGGGCGGGGATGACTCATGGCCGAGTTTAGGGATGGCGCGTTCACCACAGAAGGAGGAGATTTACCCTACCTAGGAGCAGGGGAAGTTTGTGAGGTAGCCGCCCTCCGACAATCTACCACGCATGCTTCATTTCACTCAAGACCGTTTGGGCACTTTGACATCAGTATTTGGCATCGTCATCATCAACACTACACCGTCGTTTTGGGAGTAAATATGCGCAATCCTTGATATAGTGGGCAAGCCTCGTATTCGAAAAACAGACTTACCTCGTGAGTGCAGAGGTGTTGCTGCTAGCGGTGTTGTTAAATCCAGTGCCATAGCGTGCGGTCCTACCAAACATAACACACACATGACACTTCACGTTTCATTACCAGACCCGTGAGCCAATCAAAGAATCGAGGGCTAGCGAACATTCATGCTACGGCGGTGGCTGGGTATCGCGACCACGTACCGAAGAAGCAACCCAACCAAGCGGCGGCGAGCCGAACAACAAAGCGATCTACAGCAGCAGCACCAACGCTAACGTAAAAGGCTGCAGCAGTCACACGTCCGACGGCATCCTGTTGGCACCGGCTGGAACAACACGCCAAACACCAACACACACCAAATTGCTCACATGAGATGCCATGGGTCCTTTGTGGGGAGCCATCAATGCCAGAGACATCTAACCAAGCGCCCGGCGACCTGCGTAGAGCGTGCCGCACATATCTTTCATGCCAACCTGGCTAACTATCCGTCACTCGATGCGCGGCGGTGTGTGACAAACTATATTGGGCAAGATACACAGGTCTCTTCACGTGTGCAGCCAAGGCGCCGGCATCACCGACGGCCCCCAGCTATGCCACGACATGCGCCTGGACCGCTGCCCAATGGGGCGGCATCAGAAGGTCTGCGGCATCGCCCCCAGCCCGAGCACCAGAACCTGGCGGCTTGCCTTGCCACGCCTCGTCCGAATCTTCGGCCCAGCCACCCCGGTGGTCGTCGTTGTTGCTGTCGTCGTTGGGCCAGAGAGCTTGACCATCGTTGGCGTCCTGTTCACGTTGCTCATTTTCGTCCATGACGTCAACGACTCCGCCCTGCATGCACACGACGTCGGAAACGATAGCAGCAAGGCCCAAGAAAGCAGCATCAGAACTGTGTGGGTACACACAAGGAAAAACTTGGCTGGTCGTGTCACCATTTCGAAGCATCTTGACCACACGTGATGATTCCTTGGCAGGGTGCGAGGTGGCGTTTATTTGGTTCGACGTGCTGTCATGGCGCCAGCATAACCCGGCGTGTTCTCATCCGTCTTTACCCCGCTTTACGGCGGCAGATGCCGTGCTACTGGCGTTGTACAACGACAGGGTGCCACTGACGGTCTCCCAAGGGCGCATAAAAATATTTTTTCCGACACCCCAAAACTATATTTCGGCCCTCTCCGGAGGTGTGGGGGGGTACGAAGGCCCCACCCCCCACCCCCCAAACGCCATACAATTTCCTATATAAACAAGCCCATTCTAAATCCTACATCTAAGGGGGCATATTTCACGCACGGGTGTGTGGTACAATCCACGTAGCCCCTGCGCGAGCTTGAGTGTACGGGGGTGGGGGGGGAGGGGGGAGGAGGATGGAGAGGACGAAGGAGCTTGACGCGTAATACAATAAAGTACTTTCCAATTGTGGACGGTGGCGAAGGTGATGCCACCGCCGTAGGCTCATTTGCGTACGCTTGGATAGATGATGATGACGTTTCGACGCATGGGTATGTGTCATTTGGTTCTGGTGTGTCGTTTGTTTGTGTTGTTTCGCCATATTCGCTCAAGGTCAAATGTCGTGGACTTGTCGCACAGGCATTGATGAGAAGTTGTGAAAGCTTGTCGCTTGGGGGTTTGTCCCCAAGCAATATGCTTACTTCAAGACTGACACCTAGAGGTGTGTAATCGGTAAAATTAGACCATCCTGCAAGTCAGCGCTGACTGGCCGGATGGTCTAGTTCCGCGAAGTAAAAGATATGCTCTGAGCTCGTTAGCACCCGGCCGGATCACATGGGCTTGGGAATGAGTAGAGATCTCCGGGGCCGGACCCCCCACCAGACGCCGCTGTTTGGTAACCAAATGGTGATTCTTGTGTAAGTGGACCACTGGGATTCGAACCCGTGCGTGGAACCTTGTGTAAGAACGCCTTGACCATTAGTCTAGACCACTAAGTCCGCGCTGATCGATAATTCGGGTGGCTCAGTTGTGTGTGATGGGAGCGTAGAGCAGCTCGGCCATGACGGGCCGCAAGGGTAGGTAAAGACGTGTAGACGTGTTGAAAAACGTGTTGTATTCATCGGGGGCGTGCTTGAGCTCGTCATTCCATCACGGCATCAAGTCACGCATAACGCTTCAACACCCAGAACGAATCTCCATGAATCTCCACCAATCTACTACACTCCCAAGGAAAACACAAAGAAACTTCTTGTTCCTCCGTAGTTCGTCACTGCAATCCCCGCATATGTATACGCAATGTGCCACCCCATGCTATGCTACGAGTATATCGAATAGCCCCCCTGCTCGTATGTATCGTCATGTTCCGGCAAAATATCAAAGTCATCCTTCTCATACCTGTTCATCCCAAAACAAAATCAAAACCAAGACAAAATCCAAAACTCCAACACCAAAACAATACCTCCGAAAACAATCAATCGCATACCAAATCTTGCAAATCACCAAGAAAAATCCCAAACATTAACCCTCCAAAACACTACCATCTCCACTTGACTCTCTCCATCTCTTGTTCAAACTCGTACATATCCTCTCTCTTCCACTTCACGGCAAAACACGAGGCGATTTGATCCCAAAACACTTCTTTCACTACAAATTCATCACAAAGTCCCTGTGCAACGCAAAAGATTCCTTGCTGATAGCCTTCGTCAAGAAATCTGCATGCTGAAACTCCGACGCCACATGAGTAATCGAAATCCCCTTCCTCTCTACCAGTTCCCTGATAAAGTGATGCCGTACATCAATGTGCTTCGAGTTTGAGTTCGTGATCGGGTTGTGCGCAATCTGAATCGCTCCCTGATTATCCTCGAAGACCTGAAAGCACGGCATACCTGCATCTGGCAACATAAAACGCCACACCTGCCTCAAGAAAAGCACTTCCTTCAAGACGTCGGCAATTGCCACATACTCTGCTTCCGTTGTGGAAAGCGTAACGCACTTCTGCGTCCTCGAAAACCAAGTCACACACCCACCCCCACACATCACTAGTCCTCCTGAGACCGACCTACGGTCTGCTGCCTTGCTTGCATAGTCAGCATCCACAAACACCTGCATGCTCATGCCAGTCACCACACCCCTCTCAAATGTAATCCCCATCCAACTCGTCCTACGCACGTACCCTAAAATACCGAGTGCTGCCTTCCAGTGCACCATCTTGGGAGACGCGCAATACCGCGCTACTGCTCGTACTGCATTCGCGATGTCCGACCTGGTTTGAGTGGCCAACCACATCAGGGATCCTACCAACTCGCGAAAAGGGACATCAGCACACGCTTCGTTCTCGTCAAAGTCGGTGAGCTTCATGCTCACAGGCAAGGGCACACTCTTCCCCCACTCAACGCCGTACTCTGCAGTCAACTCTTCTGCAAACCTTTGCTGCGAGATCCTCAAAAGGCCTCTATCTAGATTTCTCTGGTAAAAGCACGCGGAGTACCACCTCAACTCCCCAAGGTTCTTCACGGGGACCATCTCGTTGAGGTCTCTGCCAAACTTGTCACATCTCTCCTTCTTCCCTACGGCAAAAATGTCATCCACGTGGACCACGATGATCATGATCACACATCCATCCTCCATAAATCGAAAAACACATGCATCCGCCAAACATTGCACAAATCCTAAAAGTAACAAACACCTCGTCAGGTGCGCATGCCATTGTCGTGACGCCTGCTTCAAACCGTACAGACTCTTGCATAGCTTCACGATCAGTCCAGATAACCTACCACAACCTTGCGGGAGACGCATGAAAACATCATCTTCAAGCTCAGACTGCAGAAATGCCTGCTGAATATCGAAATGACACAAGTCAAGGTTCTGCTCACATGCCAAAGCTGCCAACAAACGCACACTAGACACGGGTACGGTGGGTGCAAACAATTCTCCAAAATCAATCGAAGCCCTCTGCATGTCCCCCCGCGCTACAAGTCTTGCCTTGAATTTCGTCGGCCATCCGTACTCGTCTGCCTTACAGTTGAATACCCACTTGGCGTTGATGAAGTTTTCTACTGGTTGCTACACCGGACTAAAAGTACCTGCATCCAACAGACCGAAAAACTCCCGACCGACTGCATCATCCCACAACTCTGAATGTTGAGACCGCATGGCCTCCTTGAACGTTTTCGGCACTCGGAGGTCGCTGGCGAGGCAGTGAGGGAGGTCCGGCGTCTTGTCAGGAGGGCGCTTGGCACGAAGAGTGGCTTCCACGTCCTCGCGGGTGGCGAACATTGCTGCGAACATGTGCAGGCCCCCCGGCCCTCCAGCTCCTGCGCCCCCCCCGCTCCCATGGCCCGCTAAACTCGTATCTTGCGGTGGTGGGGGAGCGGGAGGGGCGATGCTGCCCTACGGTGGCAGGTCTCGACGTCCTTGATCGACGGCCTCCCGAATTATCGATCAGTGTGTCCCTAGCCCATCACACACCTATGATATGAAGGAGCAATCTGCTTCTTCCAGCGCCGGAGGCGCCGGATGTACATACCATTAATTAGCTCAAGCTTAGTTATCAAACTACGCCTGCACACGCCAGCACACGCAATGGAGAGGGAAAGCCAAGAAAGCCCGTGCACCAATGTACCACGAAAACAAAAACCATTTTTGGCACCCCTCGACGGGGGGGGAGGGGGGGGTTCGGGGTGTGCAGGATTGTTTTTTTGTGCGCCCTTGGGTTTCCAAGTAGTCCTTTGGCGACAGCGGCGTACTCCCATCAGCCCACCCCTACTTTCTGCGCGCGCGGGCGCGGTGTACGTGAACGTACTCCCGTAGCCCGTACAACCCGTCCACAAGGTGGTGACCCCTGCCCCGCGCCTCCCTCCAAACCACATCCCGAAACCACCCCCTCCCCCACCCCCAGCGCTTGCGTCATTGTTGCCAGCATCCTCCACGTCCTCGAGCGTCTGCCCGTCGTCACTGTCATCATCCGAGTCCTCCATCATACCCCCTGCCACCGCTCCAACGACGTCGTCGCCACCCCACGCCACCCCCGCGGGGAGCGCAGCGGCAGCCGCAGCGGCAGCGTCAGCGGCAGCGGCAGCGGCACCGGCACCGGCACCGGCGACGGCGCGGACATTCATCGCCGCGGCGCCTACGGCGGAAGCTCAAGTAACATGGTCAACATACCTCTCTCCCTCACCCTACAGCATACGAGCTTACAGCGCGGGCTGCGCGCCTCTCTGCACCCACGGTATGTATCGGGACTCATCGGATCAATGTAGACAACCACCACTCGGCTCTAGATAACACGTGCACTCTCCAAGACCAAAAAAAGTAAAAACTCGAGGTGTTGTAGAGAACTGGAGGACACGTGTGTCAGTGCTCTTGTCAACAGTATTCCCTCGAAGTCTGTTATGTATATCAATTCATCGATGTGATTCGCTGATTTGACGTGAAGACAACAAAAATATTAGTATGCACATGCATCGATGATAGATCGTAATAATATTTTCCAATGCATCAATGTAGCATATGATGGGCGAGGTGCTGTACTGTAGAACGTTCCGCAATATCCAGCGAAGTGCTCGTGACGTGGTCGACGACGGCACAGGGAAGGCTCCTGCCCAATGATGTGAAACGGGAAACGGGATGCGTGCAAGAAAGAACCGACAAATGGTGTGAGACGCTACGGATCTCCCGCACTTTCTACGGTTTTGCTAAGCCTCCTATGGGCATGCTCATGGACATGCCCACAGGAAGCCCATGAGGAAGGTCCACGGGCAAGCCCATGGGTGGCCTGTGGGCAGCCCATAGGCGGCGAATGAGTGTCGTTCAACCGGGGCCAGTGTTCTCCTAAACCATAGATCTTATGCTTTGGGAAGGGCATTATTACCGCTTATATTCTAACCCTAACCCCAAGCCCACACGATACGTGCTAGGTGTCGCTAAGTTCTAGGTTGATGTGCCGTTGGCGAGTTCTAGGTTGAAATGCCCACGATGGGCAATTAGCGGGCAGTTCATGGGCTGCCCATGAGCTGCTCCGTGGGGGGTTTCGCAAAACTGCCGGTAGTGTGGGAGATTGCATGACGCTACATGTAAGAACCTATAGTTTTCCAGGCGTACGTGTGAGAATCCAGACCTGAACACACAGGAATGGCCCGTGGCGCCATCTCACGTCGGATTACGGACACCCCGCCATTGTTGAACGTTTTCGGGAAGCGTTTACCGCACACAAGCCATGCTGAAGACTTGTGGGCGGGGGGCGGGGGGGGGGGCGCTACACGGAAAAAAAAAAAAAAACGGAGTGAAGGCATCTTGGGAAAACCCGCCTATGAAACAGCCCTTCACCGAAAGCCCCCAGCACGCAAAAAGCACTTGAAAGACTGGCGAATGGTATTCATTGCCCACCACTTTTCGGGGGGATAACTGACTACCGGGCCTCACACCACATGCCATCATGGCAAAGGCAACATAAACATCACAATATGAACAGCGCCTGCACACATTTCTCACCGAAAGAAGGCGAAGACCTTCTTTTGCTGGTCCTGTTTGGCGACATCGTTCGCTGCCTCGTCGATGGTGGCGGAGCGGAAGCCCTTCGTGGTGGCCTCCTCTACCAGCTCGCGGACAGCCTCGACGTCACCAGAGGGGAGCTCTTCATCGCCTTCGCCAGCTTCCTCCCAAAGCGCTTCTTGTCCTGCAAAATGAGGAATATTGTAGTGGAGCAAACGATGTTACAGACGTAGCAACAACAACGAAATTATTGTGTGTGTGTGCCAGTATGCATTTTGTGTCGATGTTCATGTTCTTCGCGGGCGCGAAAAGAAGGCGAGGAAATACACTACAGGTGTTTATTCCCTGGTGAGAGGTTTGGTTCCTTCAGGCATCGTTCGGAGTCTCAAGCTGTGGCTGATACTGGTTTCTGGGCCTCTCGTCTGATTCCACCGGCATAACAGACACGTGCAGCACAGTCATACCGGTATATAACTGCCCGCAACTGAATACCCTGCCCGTGATAGTACTGTACGTTCCCTCAACCTCGTCTATTTTTTTTCTGGTGACACTAATACTCGGAAATTCTAACTTCAAGTTTCAAATATTCTGCTGTCAGTACATGCGCCAGACAACGAAACCGATGTGTTTTTGTGGACGGTCAACGGTACTGCCGAACGCGGAGGGGTCAAATTCTCTTGCTATTACTCTCCAATCTATCGCCAAAAGTTCGATCCCCGTGCCGGGGGGTGCAATATGTGAATGCAAACAATCTCAGGTACGATAATTGTTCGCTCTGCTCGCGTGTGAAAGCTCTCTTCCGATGTCTACGCCGTGCCCAACGACCCATAAAAAGCGTGTAGAAAATGGGCGTTGTGGAACAAACTATTACCTCCAGCCGAACTCCCGCCGTGTCGTCCAGGAAGGGCCCTGGGATGATCGTGGGAAGTAAAGTGAAAAGGGGAGCGACAGGCGAGAAAAGGACGGACGAAAGGGCATGTAGACTATAAATATGAAGTGCATTGACAATCCTTATGTTTTCGCTGTCCATGCACCCTGCGCCCCTTCTTCTTTCAAATGAATGCCGTTCTCCTCGTCATTAGACTTCCCAGGTGCCTTCCCCAGGACCTTCGTGGAGTACAGGGCGAAAGCTTCGCTGATGTCGGTGGGAGTTGTAACTCGCCCATCCATCAAAATACTCATTCACGGATTAATCGTTCAGGGCCGCATGGATGTCGGGCAGTACAGGGCTGCTCAAGTTTTGCGTCGGAGAAGGGCCATAAATTTGCACGCTGTACACCCAAGAGCCTTGTCCCCGGAACGAATTTCAGACTGTAATACGAACTCCCCGTCGTTGTTGGACTCCGCAGGAATTGTTGGCAAGGACATTCAAGAACTTGCGATAGGGGTCGTACACGGAAAAAATATGAAACGTATGAGGACATCTGTGCATACGCACTGTATCTGAATTGAAAAGAGAAGAAACAACTCGCACAACAAGCGGGGAGAATGAATGATTGCTGCAAACGACGACGCGGTGAGTTCGCCCTCCACAGAAGCGACGAAGCCGGCCCCGCGGCACCCACTCCTCTTGTCGGCGAGCAGCATGGCCGCCCAGGGCGGGCAACCTCGGCTCCCATACCGTTCGCGGCGGGCAGGATCGGTGGAGGCGGAGGCCTACTTGCTGCTAAAAAGCAAGCCAGCTCCCGGTCACGTTTGTCGTTTCCGCTTGCCGTGTTAAACTCGAGCTTGGGACAGGCGACGGACGACGTTTCACAGCTGGCCGGACCGGAGTTGGCTTTCATATCAGTAGCAAGCAGGCCTCTGCGCCGAAAAGTCCTGCTCGCCGTGGGAGAGGGAGCAGAGATAAGTGGGAGCAGAGATGTTCCCCCACCCGGGGGCCTCAATGCTTCTCGCAACGAAGAGGGGCGGGTGCGCGCGGCCGGCTGCGTCGCTGCTGTGGAGGGAGAGTTCACTACGTCTTCAAATGTGAGACAATAATATGATGTGCCGGAATCACTCTCTCTCCCCCGTGTGTAGACTTCAGATGCACGCGCATGGATGTATTGTCTATCTATGTAGATGATATTCACGCAGACAGTAGTCTATGCGAGGTTTGAGTTCGCACAAGAGGATGCGGTATCTAGCACGACAACTTGCGATTTGTGTTGTTTGCCGCACCCAATCCCGTTGTCGAAAGGCACAAAGAGCAGCGGGATGGAGCCCGGGGACACAGACGACGAGAGAGCAAGAAAACGGAGCAGACTACATGTGAAAGCCAAACAAAATTTTGCCCGGCAGTTTGCCACCGCCATCGCCGCTACCGCTGCCGATATGGACGGGGCTGCAGCAAGCATCGTCATTGAAATGCCTTGGAAAAAATGGGTTCTCTGGGAAGGGGGGATTCCTGTTATGGCGTTGTCGCATATCTACAACCACACACACCAGGCTGTCGGGCGATATGAAAAAGAAAGAGAAGTGAGTGCCAAGAAAACGGTCAACCGAAAAGTGGAACGATCTTTGTCAACATGTGTCCGCTGTCGGGGCTACAGTATGTAGTTGTTCTCGCACCAGAATATCATCCCGCTGCTCCCGAAACATTTTCGAAGAGCTTTTGAACTTTTTCGAAAACACCTGACTGGAAATGCCGGATTGCGCACGTTCGCCGTAACAGGACTACCGACGGTACACGCGCCTTATGATACACTCGGGTTTTAGTGGCCAATTGTTTTCGTTCACTTCTCCCCTTTCTCGTTCGTTCGACAGCCTGGTGTGCGTGCGCGCGAGCTTGCGTGAGGAGGTGAGACTCACATTTATTGCATGCCTTCTGTACGGCATAACTTTGTACAGGTTGGTCCTATGATGATGAGAGCATTGTATGTCGCTCACCCACTTGTAACAGGTTAACTCCAGGTCGATGGATTTTCACTCGTTGATTAGCACATGTGCAACATCATGCGTGCCGTATGGACAAATATACGTGCACCCGCCCGTGAAAGCGCGTAGTCAACACAAATAGGTATCAAAACACTGGAAAGCAACGCGAAAAATCATGAACGTTTATTTTGGCGCTGGTTCACTCGTTTTCCGGGTCTTGGCCGTCACAGTCGGTCAATCGTCCTATGACCGATCGATGCGGCTGTCACACATCATTTCTGCATGTATGCCCGGCATGAGAGAGGTCGATACGTAGAAGAACAATGACTTAATGAAAACAGACATTGAAGTGATGAATAAATGCAGACAGACATTGAAGCCTACAACGTTGAAGCACACTTTCCTGGAGGCTAGCGCAGCTCGCCGTCCGATAATTCGTCTCAGGGTTTACAACGATGGTAGATCGGTTCCTACGACGCAGCACGCACTATGCAACAGGTATGGTGGGTGTATCCTGCTCCAAGTCGTGTCTGACACACCGGCACCCTGCCGGACGATTCACTCGGGTGTGACTGTTGTGGGAACCAACTTCAGCTACAGTAGTAGTGCTTCAAACACCCACACCGGGTTCAACCCCTATCTACAGCAGTACTCTACCTTCGGCACCTTTGGCGGCACCGTGATGAAAACAGTTTGGAAGCATGTACGTTCAGGTTCAGACACAGCAAGTCCGAGAGAGATAATGGAGCACTGAAAAAGACAGGTGGATCGGCGCCGCAGCGTGGCCTGCTTGTGTACGCTTGCTTGTGGTTCAGTCAAAGCGAGACTACAGAAAGTGAATGTGATGACAACCGCCGTGTCTGCTGTTGTTGTCGCCGTTGTGACGTTCGCGTGAGAAAGGAGCAAAGCTAATGCAATTGTTTCCGAAGTACTGCAGAATAAGCTTCTTCCATGAGCTGATGGTGTGCCCCGCGAGACTGCCATATTCTTTGCTCGGGGCACCCACAAGGCGCCGGCTGCAAGCGCGGCAGTAGTTGCCCGCTCGACGTCAAGCAAGAGGAACCAGAACCTAAAAATATTCTTCGCACCAATACTCAGCAGTATTTGCAATACGAACGAACAACGAACAGGTGTCCAAATTATTTGTTCTCGTCGAATATGCATGTTAGAGACTACTGCTGTAGCTCACCCGTTGGCAATGACGGACGGTCTTTTACTCCGAAGAGCCAAGCCATGCTACAGCAATAGATGGCCACAGGGAAGGCGCTTCCCGCGTCGTAACCTCCCGGAGGATGGCTTCGTCCTCGTCATTTTCGCCTCTGTTGCCTGCTGACGCTGGTGTGGGGAAGGCGGATGGATGGCGGGTCGGGCGTGGGCATGTGCGGGGGTGTGGGATCATTTACGGAAAAAAAAATCCGATGATGCGCACACCTTCACTAATATGCATGCATATACATTATGCATATTCTTCCATGTCGATGCGGAACAACTTCACATTTTGCATGCCAGCTTCCAGGGGAAAAATTGAAAAAAAATAGGCAATGAGGTCCGGGACGGACGTCAAGCAAACGACCATTTTCCGACTCGGGCTGCACCATACAGCTACATGGTCATCCACGTATGCATACAGAGATACATGTACAGTAGTCCGGGAACACTTTCCTTCCGCGGCCCGGCTGCACCACTAGGTCCAGCCCCTCTCACGAAAGTGCACAAGGTTGCTGCTTGTGGCCGGACACACGTCGATTGTCATCCTCCCTCTGGTCTATCGTCTATAGCAAGCAAGTGTATAGCCGACAACGTAGGCATGCGGTGGTTAATAATCCCATGATGGCCTGCCTTAGATCTTCAGGAGTATTACATAAAGGTTGGGTTCGATGGATGGATTCGATTCATTATTTCTGCTGCTGGTGCGTCGCCCGAAATTGTGAAAAATTGAAAGTACGTAGACCTCGGGACAAAAGACACTTCTCGCCTTCTTTCGCATCCTCCACCCGACCACGATAGCTGGGTAGCAGCAGCAAATCATGTGGGCACCGGTGAAGAATCTCCCCCACCAAGCGTTGGGCACAGCAGGTGTACGCGCATGCGCGGCCCGCACTTACCTGAATAGCGAGGGGTTCGCGGACCGGATCCATTTCTCTCGACGAGATGTTGGGACCCCCCACGGGGCCCCCGTCCCAACCAAGTAGTTTGTGCCCCGCCCTCCTACCCGAGGTTCAGTCGAAACATCACCACAGTGTGAGGCATGGATTGAACTCGGAACCAGTTTGATAAGAGAGGCGGGGATCGATACTAGTAGCACGGGCATTTTGCATACGTTGATACACATTCTCGAATGAAATCGATCAATCGATTCATTCGCATGCATGCCAGATCCGAGCTGTTCAATCCGTGGGGCCTCTCTCGTTCGCTTTGCTTCGTTTTGGTCCTTCCCCTTGCTCCTGCCCTCTTTGTATTTTTCTGCCTAGTGTATGCATACGTAGATGGGATCTCTTCTTCATAGTACACTGTTGGAGCTACCCTGTTGACGTTGGAATGTTCGTGTGTTTGTGCCATATATGACTTGGGTGAGAGTGCGTCGGTTGCCACGGTGCCAGAGGTGTAGATATTCCGCAATTTTCCCAGAAGGAGTGCACATTGGGCAGCAGAGTCCAGATAAAACGTCAGTGCGGCTTCTAGCGGGTAGACGGGAAATATAACGGCTACGAGTAGCGGCCGTTTGCCCGGGTGGTTCATTTCACAACAACCTTTGTACGTAAGTAGCGTCTCCATGATTTCTGGAGTTGGGTTCGAGTCTAGGCGCAGCCACACGACTTGGGAGTGGAAGTTGTTCTCGCACCATGCTCGACCAAGCAAGTGAAGCAGTGAAAACACCAATCTGTACTTTGATGGTACACGACGAAAAATTCCGCATTCTGTCTACTCCTGTACATACGGTGGACGAGCGAAAGAGAGGGTGCAACTCTTTTCGCGACAAACAATAAGTATGGCAAACACCGGCATCGGGAGGGGACTGGTGAACCATATATATTTTCCCGTCTGAATGCCCGTGATGGAACTCAAATCATACACTAATCGTCCAAAACGACTTGAAAATACTTGACACGAATCGAGCACGATTCTTAGCTATAGGGACGTATTGTACACTTTCTTGACCTAATTCAAATCACGATTCGACACCCACCCCCTGTAAGCCGTCTCTACAAGACACTGCATGGAACGTACGGCCCAATCCTGTATGGACGAATGAATGAAAAAATTGCACGATACATGCACAATACGCTGCACAATCCAACGCCCCCTGCGAGCTGCGGTTAATATGT